ATAATTTATTGTGTTCCTCTGCAAATTTAGTGCCGGAATATCTTTAACCCTTTCGACCCCAACGTTGCTTGTGGGCAACTTCATATGTTTGACGACTAACGGTCAGCGTTGTTTTTGTTTTTGTTCATGTAACCGTATCGATATCGGAAGCTACAAGTGTTCTCTTTAAGTTGAATAAAACAACAGCTAATTTGATCGCCAATTAGCAAAGTTATTTTCATTAGTACACGCGTGTGTCAAGACAAATATATTTGCGAATTTGGAAAGAGGTTTTTATACATGTGAATTTTTTTCAAAATTATAACAAAAATTTAAAATATTTTTATTGAATCTGTTTTATTATTATTTGTGAATGTTAAATCTTACCATTGCAAACAAACCACAGGTGAGTAATTTCCAAAATTGTCAAGTTGCTTGTGAGCAACTTTGGGCAATTATGGTTATTAATTTATATACTTTTAGACATGAGACCCCAACAGAAGGGCTTGACAAACAACGATATTGAAGAAATGTTGAACTTCGATTGGGATGTTTCCAGTGACGAGGAAAGCGGCGATGAGGTGGAAGACATATCTGCAGTGCTGGAGAGGAATTTGGAAGGGATCGTGGAAAGAGGAGAAAGCATAGAGATCGACCTTCTTGACAACATACTGGCGGATGAGGTTGAGCAAGAATCTTCTAGTGCTGTTAATATGTGCTTTGAAAAAGTTGATTCAAAATCTCTCAAATGGAGATCAAGGCCCTATGAAGCCCCTGACACTAGTTTGAAGGACCATAATATTCTGGAAGTTATTGAAGTTTTGACGTCAGTTGAATATTTCGTTTGATACTCGTTGTATTGATTTGATCATACAGCAAACAAATATATATGGACTACAGGAACTCGGCATTGAGCTTAACTGTACTAAGGAGGATATAAAACGGTATATTGGCGTTTTGTTATACTTAGGTGTTTTTAGATTGCCCCAGTTTAAAATGGCATAGGCCCAAAACACAAAGCTTACGGCTATATCAGAAGCAATGTCTCGCGGCCGGTTTGAAAAAATTAAGCAGTGCTTTCATTTCAATGAAAACAGCCAACAGCCTAAAAAGGATGATTTAAATTATGACAAGCTGTACAAGATACGCCCTTTGCTAAATATCCTCAAGGAGAACTTCAATAATCTACCTCAGGTGTTGATGAACAGATAATTGCATTCAAAGGTATACATCGATATAATTCATATATTCATAAATTTATACTGTTACTCTTGGCTTAGGACGGTCTACTTATAAACAATATAACCCAGCTAAGCCCCACAAATGGGGTTTTAAAATGTTTACTCGTGCTGAAACTACTGGCATGGTATATGATTTTACAAAGTATGTTGGCGAAGGAACCTGCCCGTCATACGGATTGGGACTATCTTCGGATGTTGTCCTTTATCTGGCTCAAAACCTTCCCAAACACAAGAACTTTAAACTTTATTTCGACAACTGGTTTACATCAGTAAGTCTTCTTATTGCGTTGAAGGAAATGGGCATATTTGCAACAGGTACTATACGTAAAAATCGGGTAAGCAGTTGCCAATTGCTTTCAGATGTTGAACTCAAAAAACGGGGAAGAGGATCTTTTGACGTGAGATGTGAAGCTAATTATAATCTAGTATGCCTGAAGTGGTTTGACAACAAATCAGTTTTGCTAGCATCTTCGTGTATAGACCACCAGCCTGTTGATGTTTGTAAGCGTTGGAGCCCGAAGGAAAAAACTTACATTGATGTTCCAAGACCTGCTATTGTTGCTTCCTATAATAAAGGCATGGGAGGGGTTGACCTAGCTGATATGCTCATGGAGCTGTACAAGGTTAACCACCGCTCAAGAAAATGGTACATAAGAATCTTCTATTGGTGCCTAGGAACATCCGTTACAAATGCCTGGTTGCTTTATAGAAAACATCTTCGTCTACTTCAACCCAACCAGAAACATATTCCATTAATACAGTTTCAACTGGAAATTGCTAATGCACTTTTGCAATATAGTTCAGTTTCTGAAGATTCCATCCAAAGAAAAAGAGGTCGACCATCGAATTCGGAAAAAAAATAATCCAACATCTTCCGATGGTATCTCTCCGTCGAGCAGTGTGTCTTCGCAAAGCAACAAAAAGTATAGGTTCCAACCGAACCCTCCAGATGCAAAGCGGTATGATAAAGTGGATCACTGGGTAGTATTTGGCGAAAAAGGTCGCTGCAGATTGTGCAAAACAGGAACTCCAATGTCCAAATGTCTTAAATGTAAAGTACATCTTTGCTGTAACAATAACAAAAATTGTTTTTTGTCCTTTCATACTTAACTTTTAGAATAATTCAATGAAACTTAATACGGCTATAATAACAAAACTAAATTTTTTTATATACCACAATTGCCCAACGTTGCTCACAAGCAACTTTCTCTACCGCCCAAACGAATGGGCGTGGCGACTTGAAATTTTGGTCAGACACTCCTTAAGTGACTTCAAAATGATTAAAAGTTAAAAAGAAATGTTTAGGGATACAGATAAAAAGTTGGGGTCGAAAGGGTATATATAATAATAAATTTAAGTATACAAATTTTAGTATTTAGTATAGAAATATTCAATTCAAATACGCCAATATTAAAATGCAGCGCTTTGCACTTAACCGATGCTTTTTCATAATTAAGTTAAAAAAAAAATATTTAAATTCCATGCTGCCTGTAATGGGATTTGAACCCTGACGCTCTGGAAATTAGCAAATTGTGGCAAGCATCTTCGTGCCCTCAGCTACAGCCAGACATGTAAATGTGCATTCAAATGTTCAGTTTGATTCAACACCACGTGCTCGTGGTATGAAAGTATTGTTTTTAAATACGAACATTTTAAAACGATAATCAAATAAAAAATATTCATGTTTACTATGCGTTATTTCCCCCAGTAAATTCATAAAATTTTTCTTAATATTACAGTGCGTTGTTTCTCTCAGTGTAGTCATTTTTATTCAAAATTTGTGCAATCAAATCGAAAACCGGGACACTTAAACGAAACCCGGGACGTTTTAAGCTTGGACCGGGACCGGGACAAATAGTCTAAAACCGGGACATGTCCGGGAAAACCGGGACGTCTGGCAGCCCTAGTGTAGATTCTTATCCCGAAAAATTCCTCTATTGGTTTCTTTTTTGTTGTTGAGTGAATTGTATAGTTACATTCGTAGACAGAGTTGTCGAATCAAGTGAAGATGAGTTCTGCTTTTAAGCAACGCATTATTTCTGTGAGGGTCGAGTGGAATCGCTCTACTTGCCCGTTGACGGAACTTGCAAGCTGAGTTCAGGAATGTTTCGTTATCTATTACGACTGATTTGGGTACACCAAATTGAAAAAGTAATTCATGGAGAGGTTCTTTAACGTGTTCTATTGCTCTTGATTTAAGTATTTTGGTTAGAGCATATTTTCGCCGCTGTGGTGTATTGGTAAGCAGTGCGCGCTTCCACTCCGCAGCACCTGGGTTCAAGCCCTGGTCAAAGCAACATCGCAAAACAAAATAAAAAATAAACGTGTTTTCTTAACAGTGGTCGTCCCTCGGCAGGCAATGGCAAACCTCCGTGAGTATTTGTGCCATGAAAAACAGCTTCTCATAAAATTACAATCGCCGTTCGGAGTCGGCGTAAAACTGTAGGTCCCTCCGCTTTGTGTGACAACATCAAGGCGCACGGCACAAGTCGGAGGAGAAGCTCGGTCAAACACTAACTTATGTGTAAGCGCCAATCTATTATTATATTTTGAAAATTTATCTATTGCTGTCAGGACTATATTTCCTTCGGTCATGTAAATGTCGATGTGTAAAATTTGTCCTGGGAATTGAGGTATAGGAGATTCTCCCAATTCTGATTTGCTACGATGTCTATCATAGTTATTTTCTTTACAAGTTGAACACTTTTGAATAATTCTTTTTATCTTTTTTGTCAAAGCGGGAAAGTAGTAATTTTCTAAAATTTGACTTTTATTTTCTCGGCTCTCTATGTGCTCACTTGTGGGCCTTTACTATTATTTCTTCCTGTTCTTGTTCATCTGTGACATCTTCAATTTGCATTTGAGTGAATCTGATTTTGTAGCTACTAAAGTGAATTGGGTATATTTCCTGAATTTTGCCTATAATTCGTTCTTCTGTCTTAATACCGTCAACTGCGGAGGGGTTAAGGTATCTTTTTAGGGGGTTTATTAAAATTTCTGGATTATATTCTGGTTCTTCTAAAATGTGTCTACGGTATGTGGGGAAAACTATTTTAAATTGGTACGTTGAAGTTGCTACTACTTTCAGAAACAGTTGGTTTTTAAAAACATTTATTGGAGTCTCTACATGAGGGATTAAATTATCTGATGAGCTTTCGTCACTATGTTGGGTAACGGATAAGGAATTTATTGGTTCGGGTGCCCTCCTTGATAGAGCGTCGGCTGCAACGTTGGTTGTACCTGGTTTGAAATGGAGTTCATGATTACAGTCTTCCAGAGTGGCTTTCCAGCGTTTCAATTTTGAATTATTATTTTTGTTACTAAGAGCTTGCGTAAGAGGTTGATGGTCTGTAAATATTTTGACGCTGAGCCATAGAGGTAGCTTCTAAAATTGTTTAGAGCCCATATTATAGCACATAGGAACGAATCGACAATTTAGGACGTCAAAAATAGAAAAGCTAAAGTCTTTAAATCTTAGCACACATACCTTTCTCATACTCCTTATAAACCAGTCCACAAGGTAACACACAAATTTTGACTTTTGCCACAACGCGGTAGCTTTAGCAGAAGCGCAAAGTTGGGTTTTCTATCGTACGTCGAATTAAAGCGATGATAAAACAAGTAAGAAAGTCTAAGTTCGGGCGGAGCCGAACATTAAATACCCGGCGCAAGTATTAAATATATGTTTTTCACCTTTCCGAAAGCTACCCCTACATGGTAAACCGGGGTGTATCCATTTTGAGTAAATTAGCGTCCTTAAATTTAGAAATATTGAAGTTTCAAGCATTTCTGAAATTAACTGTTACATGAAAAGCGGCCGTAATTTTAGTTCGATTTCAATAATTTTCAACGTTTTGCTTCTATGTGGCAAGCACAATAACCACACCGAGTTTGGTACAAATTGGTAGAACGGTTACCGAGATACATATATGTATGTGTTCATAAGTTGGCGGTGCCACGCCCATTTTTCAAAATTTTGTCTTAAGCGTATTT